AATCAAAGACCTAAATACACTCATGCATGACTTAATGATAGGAATACATATTCTGAGAAATGCATTGTTACACGATTTCATCATTGTGTGGATATCAGAGTATACGCACACAAACCTAAACGGTATACAGCCTACTACATGCCTGGGCTCTATGGTATAGCCTATTGCTCCTAGGCTGCAAACCTGTACAGTATGTTACTATACTGAATACTGTAGGCAATTGTAACACAATGGTATTTGTCTATCTAAATATAAAAAAAAAATACAGCTTTAAAATATGGTATACAAGATTTAAAATAGTAAAACTGCATAAGGCATTTACCATGAATAGAGTTTGCAGCACCAGAAGTTGCTACAAGTGAGGGTGAGCCAATGAGTGGTGAGTGAATATGAAGGCCTAGAACATGACTGTATAATACTGTATACTTTATAAACAGTATATCCCTAAACTCCACTAAATTTATGCAAAATCTTTTGTTTCAATAATAAATTAACCTTAATTTATTCTAACTTACTAACCTTTAATTTTTAAAAACCTTTTTGACTCTTTTGTATTAACAATTAGCTTAAAACACAAACATCTGTAAAGCTAGACAAAAATATTTTCTTTCTTTGTATCTTAATCCTATAGACTTTATTCTTTCTTTTTTTACTTTTTAAACATTTTTGTCAAAAACTAAGAAACACACACATTAATTCAGGCCTAGATGGGGTCAGGATCATCAAGGTGTCACTAGGTGATGGGAATTTTCCAGTTCCACCTTTTTCCTTTTTTTGAGATGGAGTTTTGATCTTGTTGCCCAGGCTGGAGTGCAATGGCATGATACTGGCTCACCACAATCTCCACCTTTTAGGTTCAAGCGATTTTCCTGCCTCAGCCTCCTGAGTAGCTATGATCATAGGCACGAGCCACCACATCCGGCTAATTTTGTATTTTTAGTAGAGATGGGGTTTCTCTATGTTGGTCAGGCTGGTGTTGAACTCCTGACCTCAGGTGATCCGCCCACCTTGGCCTCCCAAAGTGTTAGGATTACAGGTGTGGGCCACCACGCCTGGCCCCAGTTCCGCATCTTACGGGACCAATGCTGTATGTGCATGGTCTGTAATTGACCAAAACTTTGTTATATAGCACATACATATAAGAAGACATTTTGTGTGGATGAGTTGGAAGACTTATTATAAAGATGGCAGTACTCCATAAATTGATCTACAGATTAAATGCACTCCCCATCAAAATTCCAATGGCATGTTTTGCATAAATGAACAAGCTGATCCTAAAATTCATGTGGCATTGAAAGGAATCCTTAAGAACTAAACCCTTCTTGAAAAAGAACAAAGTTGGAGTACTTTTACTTCCCTATTTTGACACTTGCTACAAAGCTACAGTAATCAAAACATATAGCACTGGCATAAGGATAGACACGTGGACCAAGGAAATAGAAGTTAGAGTCCAGAAATAAACCGATACATCGATGGCAATTAATTTTCAACAAGACTGACAAGACCATTCCATAAGAGAATAACAGTCTTTTTCAACAAACAGTGCTGAAACAACTGGCTATCCACCTGCAAAATAATTAAGCTGGACTCCCTACCTCACACCATATTTAAAAATAAACTTAAAATGGATCAACAACCTAAATATAAGAACTAAGACCATAACATAAAGTCTTTAAGATTAGATTTTAAAACATAAGGGTAAACTTTATGACACTGAATTTGGCGATGTATTTTTAGATGAAACCAAGAGCATAATAAATAACAATTTAAAAAATTATATAAATTGGACTTCAAAATTAAAAACTTTAACATTACTAAGAAAGTAAAAAGGTTACAGAATGGGAAAAAAATATTTGCACATCACATATCTAATAAGAGTTTAGTGTGCTGAATATATATATTAAAAAAACTGCTACAACTCAGTAACAATGAGACAACCCAATTTTAAAATGGACAAATGCTTTGGGAGGCTGAGGCAGGAGGATCACTTGAGGCCAGGAGTTCAACCAGCCTGGGCAACATATGGAGACTTATCTCTACAAACATTTAAAAAAAATTTTTTTTTTTTTTAAATTCGCCAGGGTCATGGCAAGTGTGCTGAAGACCACTGGCCTTGTGGGATTGGCTGTATGTGAGAATCCATAAAAGAAGCTAATAATATTATACACAAAGATTTTTTTAGGCTGGGCACGGTGGCTCACACCTGTAATTCTAGCACTTTGGGAGGCCAAGGTGGGTGGATCATTTGAGGTCAGGAGTTCAAGACCAGCCTGGCCATCAGGATGAAACCTCATCTTTAAAATAAATAAATAAATAAAAATAAAATGTACCTATTTCATAAAAATGTAGTCATACAATATTGACCTTTTGTGTCTGTCTTCTAATCTTTTGAGTCATAGCATGTATCAGTACTTCACTCCTTTTATGGCTCAATAATATTCTAATGTAGGTATAGACTGCAATTTGTTTATCCATTCATCCATTAATAGACATTTGGGTTGTTTCCCCCTTTTAACTATTGTAAATAGTTCTTCTGTGTTTGAGTACTTGTTTTCAATTATTTTGGGGATATATACCTAAGAGTGAAATTGCTGGGTCAGTATTTTTTTATGTTCTCAAGCAAATCCCTAAAAATGCAGCTTATAGAAAGTATATAGAACAGATTACAAATGAGACACTGCCTATGGTTGAAGAGAAACCAGATGTTAAAAAATTAGAAGACCGGCCGGGCGCGGTGGCTCAAGCCTGTAATCCCAGCACTTTGGGAGGCCGAGGCGGGTGGATCACGAGGTCGAGAGATCGAGACCATCCTGGTCAACATGGTGAAACCCCGTCTCTACTAAAAATACAAAAAACTAGCTGGGCGTGGTGGTGCATGCCTGTAATCCCAGCTACTTAGGAGGCTGAGGCAGGAGAATTGCCTGAGCCCAGGAGGCGGAGGTTGCGGTGAGCCGAGATCGCGCCATTGCACTCCAGCCTGGGTAACAAGAGCGAAACTCCGTCTCAAAAAAAAAAAAAAAAAAAAAAATATTAGAAGACCAACGGGGTGCAGTGGCTCAATCCTGTAAACCCAGCACATTCGGAGGCAGAGGTGGGCAGACCACCTGACGCCAGGAGTTTGAGAACAGGCCAACGTGGTGAAACCCCATCTCTAGTAAAAATACAAAAGTCAGCCAGGCATGGTGGTTTATGCCTATAGTCCCAGCTACTCAGGAGGCTGAGGAAGGAGATCCTCCCAACTCAGCCTCCTAAAGCACTTGGATTATGGGTGTGAGCCACTGTGCTTGGCCACCCTAGCACGTAGTTCTAAACTTTACTCTTTGCCTCACATTAATTTACTCCCACTACTACAATAAAAATAATTAAGCGAAAAAAACAGGGGGAGCTAAGAGCTTGTACAGATACTTCTCTAAGATGTACAAATGGCCAACAAACATTAAAACATGCTCAACATCATTAGTCACTAGTGAAATGCAAATCTAACCATAAATGAGACCTAGCGACTTCAGAGGCTGAGGTGGGAGGATGCTGGAGGCTAAGAGTTCCAGATGAACAGGATCTTGCCATCCTGTTTCTAGAATAAATTTTTTAAAAATTAAAAAAAAAACAAAAGTGTTGGCCATAATGTGGAGATCCTCATACACTGATGGTGGGAATGTAAAATGGTTCAGCTGCTGTGGAATAGTTTCACGGTTTCTCCTTGAGTTGAGAATAGCATTACTTTAAGACCCAGCAATTTCACTCTTAGGTATATATCCCCAAAATAATTGAAAACAAGTACTCAAACACAGAAGAACTATTTACAATAGTTAAAAGGGGGAAACAACCCAAATGTCTATTAATGGATGAATGGATAAACAAACTGCAGTCTATACCTACATTAGAATATTATTGAGCCATAAAAGGAGTGAAGTACCAATACATGCTACCACTCAAAAGATTAGAAGACAGACACAAAAGGTCAATATTGTATGACTACATTTTTATGAAATAGGTACATCCACTGAGACAGAACACAGATTGGTGGTTGCCAGGGCCTGGTGGAAATGGGGAAGGGGGTCAACTGTTTAATGGGGTATAGGGTTTTCTTTTAGGATGATGAAAATGTTTTGGAACTAGATAGAGATGGTGATCGTACAGCATTGTGAATGTACTAAATGCCACTGAATTGTTCACTTTAAAATGACTGATTATGCCAATTTCACCTCAACCAAAAAATGACATACAGTACTCAGATTTTAAAAAGATTCCACTTCACCAGGATTCCACGAATTAATGTGAGATGATCAAAGAGAAGTCAGTGGAATCCTTCAACTTTGAATATAAAACAGTCCTAAACTCAAACCTTTGTGATACTGAAGTGGGAAGATGGTATGTGATAATTTTGGAAAGCAAAAATTATTCTTGTTTACTTGATCCCGAACTCTTTTTTTTTTTTTTCTTTTTGACACAGAGTCTTGGTCTGTAGCCTACCTAGGCTGCAGTGCAGGTGAGCGATCTCGGCTCACTGCAAGCTCAGCCTCCCGGGTTCAAGCGACTTTCGTGCCTCAGCTTCCTAGTAGCTCCGTCTACAGGCGCCTGCCACCATGCCCGGCTAAATTTTATCATTTTAGTAGAGACGGGATTTCGCCATGTTGGCCAGGCTGGTCTCGAACTCGTGACCTAAGGTGATCCTCCCGCCTTGGCCTCCCAAAGTACTGGGATTACAGGCGCGAGCCACCGCTTCCGGCCTTGCCCTCCTATTTTCGTACCATCAGACGCACAGTGTCCGGGACCGAAGTGGGGCTCCGCTGGCGCCCAGCTCCAAAACCCAGGGAGAGTGGAAAAGATTAGACAGGGAAGGGGCTAATCCTCAGTTACACGCGGGCTTGCCTCACCAAACCACCACTACAACAGACACCGCCTCATACCAATGTCCGGCCGGCTTCGACTCCCAAGCCCTGATTAACCTCGACCCCGGAAGTGCCGCCCACCAGTGCTCACTTCCGCTATCCCGTACGTCTGCTATTCTCGCGAGAACTGAAAGCCCCTATGTGACATGCGCTAAGCGGAAGTTGGCCCTCTTTTCCGTGGCGCCTGGAAGGCGTATAGCTGCTTCAGGATGAAGGTAGGTGGTGGTGGCTATCGCTGGATTGGGTTTGAGCAGCGGGCATCGAGTCTCAGAATGTGGCGTTGCCTCAGCCTCAGCACTCGAAGATCCTGGCTTTAGGTGAAGAAGGGTCTCAAGTAGGAGAAGGCTCGCCTTTCTGGGGCGTGGAACTTTTTGGTCGAGCGGATGGCGGGCGATTGCGGCTGGAGCCGCCGCGGGTCGGGAGCGCCAGGGTGACGTCCCCGCGCTGCCTGATTTGCGGCAGGCCTGTGGTGCGGCTTTTGACCCGGCTTTCTTGCTTCGGGACGGTGAACGGCTGCGGAGCGCCCTTGCCTCCAGTCATTCGGCGGGGCTTGAGGGGAAAACGTGTCCTCTTGAGTGCGGCGTTTGTTGACTGATACTTAGTACTGTCGGCATGTCACATTTCCTGTTTGTGTGAAGGCAACATGAAATGCTTTTTGCGGTGGAATTAACTTTGTAGGTGGCTCTATAAATACCTGTGTAGGTAGTTTCCTAAGCTATTTTCCTCCTCTTAATCCTTAGCTGAACATCTCCTTCCCAGCCACTGGCTGCCAGAAACTCATTGAAGTGGACGATGAACGCAAACTTCGTACTTTTTATGAGAAGCGGATGGCGACAGAAGTTGCCGCTGACGCCCTGGGTGAAGAATGGAAGGTAAAACTTGACAGTCACATTGTTGCAGCTGTTTTAAGTCAGACAACATAAACGCCATTGGTAATTGATATTTGGAACAGGGTTCGGACTCCGGCTTCTGGCTTCTGACTCGGTCAGTTGTCTCCGAATGTCACTCTATAAAGTGGACCTATTACTTTGGAGGGGTGATGTAGAGTAAGTCGTAAAATATGCATAAAGTTTACATCAGCATAATTCTTGCCTTGCATCATGCATTCGGCAGGTGTCACATAGCTGTCCTGGTAATCCGCAAAGTGCCAAGAAGGGTTGTATCTTACGTGTTTGTTGCTCTTTGATATTTTACTTTATCTTAGTTTATCTAACTTTATCTTAGTGCTGTTCTAAGAAAACATCGGTTATAAATGCGACTTGAATGAAAGACATTTGATAATTGACCTTGACAAGTTGGTAATGTAGACAAAATTTACTGATGAGAGAAAACGTGTTTATTAAGTTCAAATTGGTCTTAAAGAATTTCTCAAATAGTAGATGTGCTTCACAGAGGTTACAATCCTGTGCTATATAATTTTGGAATAGAAATAGTAAATGTGTCATTCATTGTATGTTTTTGCAGGGTTATGTGGTCCGAATCAGTGGTGGGAACGACAAACAAGGTTTCCCCATGAAGCAAGGTGTCTTGACTCATGGCCGTGTCCGCCTGCTACTGAGTAAGGGGCATTCCTGTTACAGACCAAGGAGAACTGGAGAAAGAAAGAGAAAATCAGTTCGTGGTTGCATTGTGGATGCTAATCTGAGCGTTCTCAACTTGGTTATTGTAAAAAAAGGTAAGCGTTATACTTGTATTCAATTTTGTTGAAATTGAATTAAAGCCAGTTGTCCAAATGCTTATTCCTCTGCAGTATCCAAACTTAGACCAATAGATTTGTTTCTTTACCATTGATTCAACATTAAACGTTGATTTATGATTTAGGATTCTTAATTATAAGGAAGCTACTGAATTAAAGTATGTTCAATTGTCTCTTCTAAGGAGAGAAGGATATTCCTGGACTAACTGATACCACCGTGCCTCGTCGCCTGGGGCCCAAAAGAGCTAGCAGAATCCGCAAACTTTTCAATCTCTCTAAAGAAGATGATGTCCGCCAGTATGTTGTAAGAAAGCCCTTAAACAAAGAAGGTAGGAGGGATGATACAATTAGGGCTTGCTTGATTTTGGTAATTTGTCAGTAGCATTTTGTGTGCATATCAGAAGATAAAATGTGTGCCTTTGGCACTATTCAACTGGAGTCTGAGTTTCTACAAAAAATATTTTGGGGGTGGCCAGATACCTAATTGATACTAATCCTTGGTTATTATATCTATTGCCTTGCAGAGTGCAGTAATATTTAGGAGATGAGATCACACTGTGTTGCCTGGGCCGGTCTTGAACCCTTGAGCTCAAGTGGTCCTCCCACCTTGGCCTCCCAGAGTGCTGGGTTTATGGGCGTGTGCCATTACACCTACCCCTAAACTATTTTTTGGCTTACAAAAGAAGTTGCTTTAAATTTCTCCTGTTTGATCTGTAGGATATGGATAATACTAGTTGTGAGAATTAGAGACCTTGCTCAGAATATTAGAGAGCAAGTGTTTGGGATTTTGGTACTTTACCTTTTAAGAACTTGTGTCGATGTATTAGAAAACATACCGGTGAGGACCTCAAATAGCATTAGTATTTCTGTAGTGAAATTTGGGAATGTTTATGTTAAATAGAATAAATAGCATGTCAGTCAGGGTTGGGTTTTCTTACAAAATCTGAAAGAATTTCTCTGGATTTTGGTTTTCAGGACTGGTGTGACTTAGCATCTGTATGTGACACAGTACCTGTATGTGACATACATAGTACATGCCTGTTAAGTTACTAATTACAGTTACTTGAGCACCAGGTGCTATTTGAGGTGATGAGACTACAGTAAGACAAATTCCTACCTTCTGACATTGAAAAAAAAAAAAAAAGTGATTGACAATAGTGGCAGTTGCCCATAATCACAGCTCTGGAAATAAACAGTGTAATGAAAGCATGGTCTAGTTAATGGGTGTTTTTTTAGATGGTTCTTATAGTAGGAGTCTTAACATTTTAGCAGAACCTGGACCAGCTGAGCATTTAACCTAAGGCAATTAACTCCCACAAAGTGTCCTGAAATGAATACATCTGAAAACGCTTATGCTCCAATGCAGATCTATAATCCCAGCAGTTTTGGAGTACAGATCAGATTAATGAACATACTTTAACAACATGTCACATAATCTGATGTTAATAGTTGGCCCCAAATTGGGAGGAATTGTCAAGGAAAATAGAGATGCAAGCTTACATCAAACCTACACTTAAAAGTATAGCAGGATGATCACGTGGATAATGTGTGAAGTGGTTTTCACAGACAAGTTGACTATGCATTTAAACTGGCAGGTAGCAAAAGCCTGGTTATTTTTCAAGACTTCAGTTTTAATCCATCTTCTAGATGTCTGTGGAGGGGCAAAAAGAATTTTAGAATAGTTCTGATTTGATTTTAAAGGCCTTATACAGGTTTTCATAGATTGTTAACTCAATGAAAGCTTACATTCATTTCTGATGTTTTTAAAGTAGATGTGGATTCTAACAAAACAAATACTGAAATTGAGTCCTTTGCATTTTTAGGTAAGAAACCTAGGACTAAAGCACCCAAGATTCAGCGTCTTGTTACTCCACGTGTCCTGCAGCACAAACGGCGGCGTATTGCTCTGAAGAAGCAGCGTACTAAGAAAAACAAGGAAGAGGCTGCAGAATATGCTAAACTTTTGGCCAAGAGAATGAAGGTTAGTTTAAGATGATTTGAGGGGGAGGGAAGAATTTGGCTTGGCTTTGGATTTGTGCCTTTATCCTAGAAAGGCCTTAACTATATGCTGGTTTGTTTTGTTTTTAGGAGGCTAAAGAGAAGCGCCAGGAACAAATTGCGAAGAGACGCAGACTTTCGTCTCTGCGAGCTTCTACTTCTAAGTCTGAATCCAGTCAGAAATAAGATTTTTTGGGTAACAAATAAATAAGATCAGACTCACATCTCTGTTCAGATTTTTCATTGCTGATAGAAGACAACATAAATGAAGAGAGGGCAAGTTCGGTCATAGAAAATGGGGATATGTATATAGTAATCCAATGCTGGATAAAATCAGACCTGTTGTGTGGCAGTGGAAGACAAGGTCATGGTAAAGGGATTCTTCTCAGGGGATGGGTGGCACAGGAAGGGATTCTTAGCAGAAGACAGCTTGCCTCTTCAGAAAGGTATGAAACTTGGGGAAAATAATGACTACTAATCTTTTTTATATGGTTTATTTAGAGAAATAGAGCTCTTTAAAACACTATGCACAATTTAATACATGAAAATTGCCCTTGTGAAGATGAACATGTCTGTCTTTTTTTATTAGAAAAATAACTTTTAAGGCATAGTTTTAGTGGATACCATCTTAAAAGTTTTTTAAACCAGTGCAGATTTAACAAAGCTTTTCAACTCCAGTGAATTGTTACGCTGTTTCACACTGAAAAGGAATTACAAGAAAACTCTTGCATCAGTGAAAAATAAGTGAAGTATATATATTTTTTCTAATAGTTCAATAGTTTTTATGCTAACTAACTATTCTGACAATATCGAAATCTTTACAAGAAGCCTCATCAGGCTTTAAGGTTGAAGTAATGCAGGCTTTTTATTTGTTAGAACTGCTGTAATAGCTTTACAAAGTAAAGTTCGAAATGTACATGTGAATCACCTAGGGGTCTGGTTTTTTGTTTTGTTTTGTTTTTTGTTTTAAACATTAAAAATCTCCCAGGTGTGAGGACAGTAATGGTGGCCTCAGTCCCTGGATACCTACTAAGATTCTTAACTCTAGCTGGGCGCGGTGGCTCAAGCCTGTAATCCTAGCACTTTGGGAGGCCGAGGCGAGTGGATCACGAGGTCAAGAGATCAAGACCATCCCAGTCAACATGGTGAAACCCCGTCTCTACTAAAAATACAAAAAAATTAGCTGGGCATGGTGGCACGTGCCTGTAGTCCCAGCTACTCAGGAGGCTGAGGCAGGAGAATTGCCTGAACCCAGGAGGCGGAGGTTGCGGTGAGCCGAGACCGCGCCATTGCACTCCAGCCTGGGTAACAAAAGCGAAACTCCGTCTCTTAACTCTATTCCTCTTACTACATGGTGTTAAAAAGCTACATAACATGAAAAGAATCTTAGCTGGTGATTAATACAGAATGCAGAAGTTAAAAGGCAAAGAGGAGGCTGAGGCAGGTGTATTGCCTAATGTCAATTCGGTCAAGAGGGTGAAACCCTGTCTGCTGAAATACAAAAAAATTAAGCCAGGTGTGGTGGGTGCCTGTAATCCCAGCTACCTGGAAGGCTGAGGCAGGAGAATCATTTGAACTGGGGAAACAGGTTGCAGTAAACTGAGATTATGCCACTGCACTCCCACCTGGGAGATGGCACGACTCTCTCTCAAAAAGCAAAGGGGAGAAATTTAGCAGTTTGGGTTACCCAAAGTTAAAAGGACTGATAAAACCAGAGAGGAACTTAAAAGCCACAAGATGAGTCCAGTATATGATCCAAAGTTTTATATGATGATGTACAAAACGCGAGAACCACCCTTTCTGAAAATTGAGTGCAGCCACAAAATAAGGATATTCTTTAAGGTTCTCCTTAGACTTATTTTTTGCTTTGAGACAGGTTTCACTCTGCCCAGGCTGGAAAGCAGTGGCCTGGCTCACTGCAGCCTTGACCTGAGTTCAAGAAATTGTCCCACCTAAGCCTGGGACTACAGGTATGCACTGCCACACCTGGCTAGTTTTTGTGCTTTTTGTAGAGTTCTACCACGTTGCCCAGGCTACTCTTGAACTCCTGGGCTCAAGTGATCTGCCTGCCTTGGCATCCCAAAGTGTTGGGATTACAACAAGTGTGAGCAAGTAGTAAGTTCTCCAAAGACACATGCAAGTCATTCTGAGGTCATTATGCAGGTTGTGATCAACCTATACAATTTCATTAGTTGGAAGAAAATCGCTATCAAGCCCCAAACCAATATAAGGTACCACTAAGTAATCTGGACTAATTTGAAAGCAATCTTTCAAAGATTGCTTTGAAAGAAGTAATCAGGATTAAAGTTGCACACAGAGCTACAAGTCATTCTGGGCATTTCTAAATCTTTCCGTAGTAATGTTTTTTTCCGTAAATTTTTAGTGGTGGGCATTGGAAAAACACTTTAAGAATTTATGACAAGAAATCAGTCCCAATATCTAAAAGGCAGCAGCAGGCTAAGGTTTTCAAGATATGATTGCTAAAGTTACTAGAAAGTTAACAATTTGATATAGCCATCTATTCTTAAACATACAAAGATATCTTTACAGATTTTTTTTAAATAGGAAGTGCTTTGGCAAGTAAAAATTAGTTTGAGTTACAAAGACTACAGTGAAGAAATGGAAACAAAATATTGGAATTCTAAAGATTACAGATTTCAGGAGGCTTAATGTAACAAAACACAGCAAACTTAATTTATCATTTTATTCAACCTCAATTTCTATATGCAAAGTAATTCCAAACTTTCTATTAGGTCAGTGTTAAGTATTAAAACCAGTACCAAGTCTTAAGTTGCAAAAATATATACTCTGAGGCAGTGCAAAAGATCTATTTTGAAGGTAATGAAAACTGTACATAATTTCTGAAAAGTTTTTTAGCATTTTCACAATAAATTCACACTAAAATTCTGCATAGGTCAGATTAACCCTGAAATGTTCGAAGTCTGGTACAATAACTAATTTGTAAATGGTTACATCAGGTAGAAGGGAGTTGTGCTGTTACTGTACCATATGGAAGTAACTTTACCATGTCAACTGATATAGTCATCTACATAATTACTGTAAACACACACAAAACCACTGGCTTTTTAAATCATGCAGAGAGTTAAGGCAAACTTACTGTTCCTAAGGGATAGTTTTAACAAAAGGCATGATAAATGTCAAAGTGCGGCATGTAAGATCATGATTTTCTTAAACCTCCTACTGGTAACAAGCTTAATTTAAAATTTTAAGACTTAATTGATTCAAACTAAAAAACAGTATTTACAAATGCACATTTTTACTCACAGGCATACAAATCTAAATATCATACAAGAATAAAACTGTGTGCAGTGCAAGTTTATCCCACAGGTTTTAAAAACAATCAATACCAACAATATATGTGCCTGAACAAAGACTTCACGTTCAATGACATACACTGTAGCATTTTAAGCATGTTCCAATTAATTTTGTAAATTATTAGGCAGCTGATTTATTTTCATTTTAACTATCTGATGATTGATTCATTTGTACCCATTTTAAAGGTATTACAAATTTAAATATTGGGAAAAGGATGGAAGTAACTGGATAGTCAAGATAAAATCCATTAAGCAAGATAATACATAATATGAAAAGTGTATTATGTTGGTGCAAAAGTAATAGCGGTTTTTGCCACTATTAATGGCAAAAACCGCTATTACTTTTGCACCAACCTAATAGTCAGAGGCGGCGGCTCTCATCAAAATGAGACCCATTTCAGAAAACTGTATTGCAACATGCAATCTATTTTAATAAATATATACTTAGAATATGGCTGTATATACATGTAACCTACACAGCCCTACACATATACACACTTACACAAATGTGTTGCTCTCTTTTTTTGAGCCAGTCTCACTCTGTCACCCAAGCTGGAGTGCAGTGACATCATCTCTGCTCACTGTAGCCTCTGCCTCCCGGGTTCGAGTGATTCTCCTGCCTCAGCCTCCCAAGTAACTGGGACTACAGTTGGGGCGCCACCATGCCTGGCTAATTTTTGTATTTTTAGTAGAAACAGGCTCTCACCATGTTAGTCAGGCTGGCCTCCAATTCCTGGCCTCAAGTGATCCTCCCAAAGTAATGGGATTACAGGCATGGGCCACCATGCCCAGCCATGTTGCTCTTATAATTGAGACATTTCATTTGTTTTAGGGGTTAGGCAAATTTAATTTGCCATTCCCCAAACTCAGTAACTTCAAATATAAACAATGCCTAGAATGATATGGTTCCTCACTATTCTATCAAACTACTACAAATACTGAGGAATCCCAAAGTAGTTTTCCACAAAGGCAGAAAAACAGTCCAGGAATTGAAAATCTTCAATGTCAACAAGGCCTGCCTGGACATTTAAATGGCATTTCATATTTTGAGATGATGCAATATGAATCATAATTCATTCTATGTTATCCCCAAGAGTTATTTCATTTCTGTTTTCACATTAGGATGTGGAAAAAAACTGAATATTTCCAGATTAAATATAATCCCCAAGCCTTGTGTCAAAATTCGAGTGAATATTTAAATGAGAGGCGCTCCAAAACACTTCCTGCACCACTCCACACTGGCACTTGGTGGAATATCAATTTTCTGCAACTTGTCAAGAATTTCCGAAGACAGACTGTTGTATGCAATTCCATATTCATTGTCAAAGGCCTCTGAAAGAAATTTTCAAAAATGAAATTGTAATTTGTTAAGAAAGCAAATAGCCATTCATTTCAAATTGGTACTGAGTCAAATTATACAAATTTGAACTACATACTTAGAAGCAGAAATCTTTTAAATCTTTTTATACATACCAGCTACAATTTTTAAAATTATTTTAGAAAATTAAATTTAAAACTTCCTTTAGTAATCTTTCATTAACCAACTTACCAATATCAATATTCTCTCTTCCTAGAGACACTAATGATAAGAAGAGGATTTCTCTGTATAAACTCCTGTAAAACAAATATGTTTTAGAAGTTAATAGGCAAATAGCATAAAAATGCATTTTTTAAAATGGTGAAGACAGATTAAGTTCTGTTGTCTAGTTAACAGTAATATACCTATGACAATGTCCTGTTTTTAATATTACGTTTCAGTTATATGAGGTATCACGTGTAGGAAGCTGAGTAAAGGCTACACTGAATTCTGTACTATTTTCTTAACTTCCTGCAAGTTTCTATTCCAAATTAAAGTTAAAAAATAGTGAATGGGATAGCCAGGCGCAGTG